TGCAAAACACATGTAAATATATATATAAACAGGATGTGGAAATGTTGCAACAGCAAAAGTTAATGGTGCATAACTACAGGAGGACTTCATCCGTCCATCTGACTGACAGCTACGGCCGGTCAAAGTCTTTCCTGAACACCATGTGGCAGCTTTAGATGGTCTCCTGCAATCACATCCTGTAAATGAGAGAAAGAGGGAGGTTTGGGGCTCAGGGAAACGATGCAGGAAAAAAAACTGGGGGGGATTACATTTCACAGCACAGCTGGCCACACCTAGAGCAAAGAGTCGGAGCGAGGGAGGGAAAACAGGAGAGCGGCCGAGCGAGACTACCTTTTCCTCTTCCCTCCCTTTGCTGTGTTTGCCCCTGCATACACACCGACCCAAAATTATACCAGATGTCACTTCAAGAGTGGAAGCCGCCCTCAGTCTGCAATGAAGAATTCAAGAAATTCTGGAAAATATTTATAGAGGTGGACCAGACCTTCTCAGCTTCAGAGGTGGAGGTTAATGTAGTCAGACCTAAATGAGAGAGACTCCCAAAGGGTTCTCTGGCACTCCATAACTCTAGCATCGCCCTCCTGGAATGTCACGGATAAAGGAGAAGTTAAAAGCAGCTAAAAATGACCAGAAATCACGAGACCAAAACCTTTTCCTTCGCTTTGATCTCCTCACAAGGTTACATGACTAATTCTGAACGACTGAGGGCCAAAGTCGTTCACGCAGTGTTGACGGTGGTGATATCTTGCAGTATTTAAGTTGACTTCTCATTTTCATTCCAACAAGTGAACAAGAAAACACTTTTAGAACTGATGCTTCCCACGAGAGGTACCAGGAAGCAGCTTGGCTAAACCTTTCAGACCAGCAAACTGGATTGAATGTCACTGCTAAGTCAAGTATGCTTCACATCTGTGGCGTATGAACAACCAGAGCACGAACAAGCATTTCCACCAATCGCTAACCAAGCAGAAAGCATCAATGTTATGTGCTGCATATTAGGATGAATCTCACGAAGACTGTCAAAAGAGCATGTCCAAGTCGTATTTCAACCCAAAATCAAAATTTTCATAACAACTATGCTCAATTGTCATTACAAAAATGCAACATAAATAAGCTAAGATTTCTTGTTACTATAAAATATGAATAATTTAAAAATGTAAAAAATATGAATACATATTTGTATTTAAAAAATAAAGGTTTATAATTTAATATATTATACTGTAATATACTAATACATAAATAAATGTATTATATAATGTATTATAAAAGTGTAATAAGTATAGATTTATAATAGTTTTTTGTTACAATTGAATATACTTAGTGTTATATATTAAATTGTAATAATACTATAATATATATATATAAATATATATATATATATATATATATATATATATATATATATATATATATATATATATTTATATATATATATTATAGTATTATTACAATATATATATATATATATATATATAATTTATTATTGTAATAATAAATAGATTTTTTTATTATATTAAACAATGTACATAAAATAACAAATTAAATGAATTAAAAAATATATTAAAAATGTGTTATATATGTATGTATGTATGTATGTATGTGTATGTATATATTTTATTTATTTTTTCTTGTCTCATTTGGGGGGTGAAAGAAAACCTGAATATGTTCTTCATATGATTCACTCATTAAGAGAAAGTTACCTTCAATCACAACCATTTATACACACAAACCACTGACATCTGGAACCGTAAAGTCAGTGTGGATGAGAGAAAGAGTCTGGGTGGCTGTTTGTTTCTGTATGTAAACTATTTCAGCTATCAGTGGCATAGGCAGGAATTTGTGCGACCCACCACCCCAGACACCCTCGGGGGGAGTGACAATCAGAGACACACCTCCTTTACGTTACTATAACTACTGTATGCTAATGAGCTGAGCTGCAGCCTCTCTGCTTCATCTCAACAGGAGGTAACGCTAAACATACTACAAACCGTCAGTCTTCATTAACATTCATAATGCATCAGACACACTACAGATTCAATGCCCACAGTGATAAACTACTAATGAGCAGGAACAAAAGCATTGCCCGTCTCAGTGTGGATGTACTGCATGTGTAAACACCAACGGCTGAAGAGGATTTAACTGTAATAAAACAGTCAAGCAAGAGCAGAAGAGGTTATCAGCTCCGTATCTGATGAGTGCGAGAGAGAAATCCAAGGAGAGGGAAAGATGCTGATAACGCACTAATCTACAGATCTCCACAACAGACGGAACTTCAAGTGTCTGATCACTGGATAGGCCGCAACTTCAGCGCTAACAAAGCCTATTCATTGAGAGACATTCTTCAGTCATCCTTTTCAAATCCCCTCCAAATGAGTCTCCTCTCTTTCACATAACCCCCCCCCCCCAAGACCACCAAAAACAGGCCAAGCCCACTATCCTAAACATGACAAAGAACATGTTTGTTTATGCCTTCCTTTTGAAGCACATAACTTGAGTAACAAAACTTACAAGACACTTTTTTCCTACACTTTTAAAAATAAAGGTTGTAAAATGTTTTTTTACACTTTACCTTTCAGTGAACAGTTCTTAAAATAAAAAATGTTTTCTAAGTGTGAAGAAAATATTCTAAAGAACTTTTGTCAAGTGGAAAGGCTCCATGGATGTTAAAGGTTCTTCATGGAACCATCAATGCCAATAAAAAAGGAAGTTCCATTTCATGGCTCCGTTCTTCATACCATTTTTGGTTCTCCAAAGAACCTTTCAGGAAACAGTTCTTCAGAGAACCATTTTCAATAATCTGAAGAACCTTTTCCATCAGTGTGCAATAGAAAGGTGCCATGGATGTTAAAGTTTCTTCATGGAACCATCAATGCCAGTAAAAAAGAGGTTCTATTTCATGGTTCCATTTTTCATACCAATTTTGGTTCTGGGAAGAGTTCTTCAAAGAATAATTTTCAATAATCCGAATATCCTTTTTCCATCATAAAGAACCAGTATGCAATAGAAAGGCTCCATGGTTGTTAAACGTTCTTCACAGAACTATTGATGCCAGTAAAGTAGCTTTATTTTTAAGAGTGCAGTGAATGTGTTACATATGGACATATTGCGTCTATATAAACCACATATGACAACATGTCTTATTTTGGTTGCATTTGAAAGAGACCATAAAACACACACAGGAAGAGCTGAGTGTTCGTTTCCATTTACGATACGGTGGCAAAAGGAAGTTATTAGTCACCAAACTCGCTGTAAACTTCTAATTAAGGACCACCGTTCAAAGCGATGCTATCAAACACCCTTGGATCAGCGATATTCCTCCTCTCCTGCCTCCACCTGCTCTAACATGTCACCTCTTTTGAAAGCACGACAACCGTTTTGGATGCTGAAGAAGGTTCACAGGCGTTCTAAAACCGTGGACTCTAATTTCTTACAAAGGCCTTGCCCTGCTTCTCTAAAGCGACATGCTTAAGCCATTCTACTCCGCATTCCTGGGAACAAAAGCAGCAGGACTCATTCTGCCCTTAAAAGCAAGGAGAAAGTTGATATGATGCCGTGGCTGGAGTTAAATGAGGCATATGCCAGCTGGCGGGGGGCTGGAGGGTCTCTTCTAGAAGAATGTGTGAAGATGAGGGCTGAAGTTTGTTAATCCTTTTATTCTGAAGGAGGAGGGTTCGAAATGACAGGCTTTGAGGAAAGTTGAGAACCTGACGCTGTGATGGTTTCCAGGCATCTGGACCAAACGATACAAATCAGATTCACCTAGCGACTACTGACTTACAGTAGGACGTATTCCTGGTACAAACCTTCTGGAGTTATCATGTCTTGCTTAAGGGCACAATTGTGTTCGTCCATTGTTGGTCTGAACCTACAACCTTTAGGTTAACAAGTGCACTTCTTTAACTACTAGGCAACGCTTTCATCAATGTCACGCTGAGCTGGTGAAAGCTGTGAACGACAGCGCATCAAAAACTCACATGCATTCCTTTTAAAGAAAAAAAGAAAGAAAATACACGCACCTGAGAGCAATTTACAGATATCACTCTGTATCCTCTGTAGACAAGTATGTTACAGACAATTGACTGTACTGAACGTCAAATCTAAACAAACTTTCTCATTACAAACTCTACAGGTCAGACAAATCCATTACATATGGTCGTGATAGTCTGCCTAAAAAAAAATCTATAAAAAGCTGTGAACAAAGTCCTGTTTACAGAACCTGTTTTGACTACTGACGGTTCTGTTACATGTAAGTGATCGGTTAACCATAATAAGCATGTTCATATGCCACTTCAAAAGATGTCAATAGGGCCACAATAACTGCCTCCTTCATTTGATGAGTGAGAAAGCTTTCATTAAAACAATCCAAATTATGTTTCTAACACATTTGATTAAGAAAAAACAAGTGGTTTACATTAACAGTGCCAACTTTGCCCATCCCACTGGCTGTGCGATAAGAGCACTTAACGGTTATTCTTCTGCTCACCAAGATAATGCATATTATGACTTTTTTTTTTGCATTGTTATCTCAATAAACCATAGTTTACTTACTTCAGCTTTCATACTTTTTGATGGATTCGCAGTTAAAACAGTTTAACTTTTATTGTGAACATTTATTCCACTGGTTCATTATGTTGTACAAAACAAGTTGCACTATTTTTGCTTTTGCATTGTTTACTTTTTTCTTTGCAACTTGACATTTTCCTCTTCCCAGCATTCTGTATTGTTGTGCAAAAGCAGACTAATAAATAATAATATATAAATAGTAATAAATCAATAATACATCACCATTACAATAAATGTTTTAATGTTTTTATTAGTACGTAAATATTGATTGACATAAAAAAAAACAATATAAACAATACTATAAAAATTAAGTCACTTTGGCATTAGAGAGTGTTGAATTGCACATTCTTATTTCTAAACCTACATATGCACTGAATTTAGAAATAATGCATGTATTTTTGTTTTTCGTTGTTGCAATTTTGTGTGTGTTGGACACTCACCCAGAACAAGGCAGAAGATGTCTAGTGCTATTAAAAGTTTCCTCTTGCTGTTATCTACGCCGTTGTTATTTAACGTGGATGTTCCTCCGTTTCTTGTTTCGGGTGCCATCGCCTTCTCATACATATAGTTTTGCATTTGAGAGAGTTCCTCCTGATGTCTCTCTCCTAAAATCCCAGAGATTGACTGCAGCGGTTCGTTTCAGTGGTCTTGTCAGCAAGGACGTGTCGTATAAAGTTTGAGGGAGTTAAAGTCCCGGCTAAAGTGGGAAGACGTCCTGAAAAGTTAATGAAAACTATGAGTTGTCCGTGCAATCAAGCCCATTCAACTTCGTTCAGCCGCAATGTTACGGAGCAGCGCTGCTCTCTGAATGAAGAGTCGTGTTGGGTCGGTTAGTGAGCTGTGAGCTAGTTCTACGCTACTTGAAGGTTTGAACTGAGAGCGGCGTTTTAAAACTAGGAGATCAGCTCCTGTTTATGAATCCTCCTCTGGTCTCCACCTCCCTCCCTTCGGTAAGCGCTCGGCTCAGCCCCGCCCCCTTCTCCTGTCCCGAGCCGCGCTGAATGAACCAAGTCCTCAGCCCTCCAGACACGCGCGCTCACACACAGCGAGCTGCACTGCCCCCAGCGGCCGCTGCTGGAAACACACGTGACCAGACACTTCTCTCATTTACCTACATGGAAGATACATGGAATATGATTAAATGATTTTCATCCCTTGATATTCCTTTTTTTTTATAAATATGATAAGTAATGAAAAAAATATCACAAGTATTCACAAAATGCATTTCCTTAAAACATGTAAAATACCATTTTCAAAATATGTATTATTGTTATTATTATTATTATTATTTATTATTGTCTTGAAACTCTGTTCAATTTAAAGGATATGAAATCTAAAGGACAGGGAAAGGCTGCAAAAGAAGCAGTCATTAAAAATGAAAGCATGATAGAAGTTCATCTTTTTGCAGGACAATGATCCCACCCATAAAGATTAAATTAACATTTGACTAGCAACAGAACAATGAGGAAAATGGCCTAAAATGGCTGTGTCAAAGATCTGACCTCAGTCCAATAGGCCTAGAGGATCTAGGCACTATATATATATATAAGATAATTGTGGTTCTCAAGAATCAGTTGACTAACCTTCAGGAAATCTAAAATAAATAAATAAAAAGCATACCTCTTGCAATTCTCATGCTATTGCAGCAAAAAGTGGCTTAAACACTTGCCTTTTTTCTTTTTACGGATATATTCTAATATAGCCACATATGTATTTTCTAATATAACATGTATAATCCAATAATATTACATACGTTTTTTTTTTTAATAAAACAAATCTTGGCTTGGATACGGATGCTGATATATTATAGGCAACTGTAACATGTCGTAACCTCAGCACCGATGAAGCACTTCCATCTAGTGGTGAAAAGTATGTAATACACTTGAACTATACTAGACCAGTGGTTTCCAACCACATTCCTGGAGCCCCACCAACACTGCACATTTTGCATGTCTCCTTAATCGCACGGCTGATTCAGGTCATCAGCTCCTTAGTACAGACTCCAAGACCTGAAATAAGTGTGTCAGACTAAGGAGACATGCAAAATGTGCAGTATTGTGTAATATATAGTGCAGATGCAAAAGCCTCTAAGTGCCTTCTGAAATTTTCTTCAAAAATGAGCGTTTTTAAAAATCAGCTCCTATGTTTATGTTCAGTTATTTCACTTTAACGGCAAAGAAAATAACCTATTCATTGCCATTAACCCTCTGTGGTACGGAGTTGCCATATGGCAACAATTCATTTCTACTTATTTTCTTGTTATTCTGAAAATACAATTTATTGCAATATGGTAATTAAAAGACCAGGCCTTAAGTATAGTCAATAATGTGCTGTTTTTAAGTCAAATGACATTTGAATGTTCATCCAAAACACTTTTTCCCCACTGTCACCCTCACATGGAGGACACCTCTTGAAGTGCTCCAGAAATTGCTCTGTTAATTTAATTTGAGCATCTCTTCTTAAGGGGATTTTTTTTGCATCATCTTTCGTTAGTAAATTACATATAGTTATTCACAAATCACTTTGTCTAACACACACTGTACAAAATGACAGTGAATTTAACGGTAAAAGACTGTAAAAATGCTACAGTAAAAACCTGTTAAATGGCTAACGGTATGCCCCTACTATGTACGGTGAAAAACTGTATTGGACATTACATGTAATTTTACGGTAGTATACCGTTTTTGAAAGTGAAAGACTAATTTACAGTGAATGACCGTAAATTGACATTCCCAGAATTCCCTGAGTTGCATTTCAAATTTGATGTTTTTTTTTTGTTTGTTGTTGAAATACTTCAGTACTTCAATAGGTTGGTATATTCACATTATATCATTATATCAGTTAATGAAATTATGGTATTTAACTGTAAATTTAAGTTAAAACTTAAGTTAAATTCAAATGTTGCTACCGGATTTTTTATGGTAAAACTCCGGGAACCACAGCTGCTGGTTTTTTACTGTAAATTGAGAAAATATCAATATTACCATATGGCAACTCTGTACCACTACGGCAAAATAGGCATGCTGCCATATGTCAATGCTGTACGACAGTGGGTTTGAAGTAATTTATTTCCCCATTGGGATTTTTTATAGATAGTAACATCAATAATATGATTGCTGTTATTTATTTATTTATTTGAAGTGTTTATTGTAGTATAGTTGTATTGATGTATGAATAAGAAAAATTACTTATTCTTTTCAGAAAATGAATACAGCAATATTTCACGGAAAGAGCAATAGGAAGAGTGCAGAGTTCCATGTGATGACAATGAAGATGAGTTAGCCTTCAGTGACTAACAATGAGTGAATAGGTGTGTATGTGTATATGTGTCTGTGTGGCAGATTTTGATGGAAATTAAGATTGGATGCATCAATTTCTAAAAGAAATGTGCATTTAAATTGAAAAGAAAATAATAATTTAATAGAAAAACTACTTTTTAGGCCATTTTCCATTGTGGTACGCTGTTGCCATATGGCAACGTTTTCCTAAATCCCCCCCCTCCCATATTTGAAAAAATATTTCATGGTTAGAACGTAATGCATATTGCATACCATAGAGCAGGGTTCCTCAAATCTTGCCCTGGAGGGCCAATGCGCTGCAGAGTTTAACTCCAACCCTAATCATACTCACCTACCTGTGATTTTATAATGATCCTGAAGACATTGATTAGCATGCTCAGGTGTGTTTGATTAGGGTTAGAGCTAATCCACTAAAAAAAGTGGATCTCGTGGGCCAGATTTGAGGATCCCTGCCATAGAGGGTTAAAGTGAAATTACTGAACCGACAAGCCTGATAAAAATGCTCATTTTAGAAGAAAATTGCAAACGGCTCGAGGCTTTTGCATCTGAATATATATATACGCAAGTACAAAAATAGGTCAATGTATGACTTAAAAGATATGTTGGAGGACACTGGTTTACTGGGACAAAAAGACTAAGCTAAAACAAAAGTTTAGATAACTTATAAGAATAATTTCAGATTAATCTGTTCAATTTATTTAGATTCAACATGTTTACTTACTAATAGCTATTAACTAATAAAACACTATTGAAATGAATACTGGTATTACCTACTTACATGAATTCAAAATGAAGTCTGACCTTGATTTTGTCTGATTTTATGAAGGTTTTCGTAAATGTATTACAACGAAACGTATATGCGGATTAAAAAGCACACAGCTGTGAAATCTTAACATTTCCTTCTGTCATGACGGTATACGTGTTTTTTAAAGACATTTCAGTTAATATTTTTCTAGCTTTATTATATTCTTTTACTCTATGAGGTAATGTGTTCTTATGGATATAAATGGTCATAAATGTCCAGTAAATGTAATGTCATAATGTTTATAAAATCAAAATCAAATCAAATGGTATGGTATGTTGTAGTTCCCTTTCATGGGAACTTCGAACTGCGTCCTCTAGGGGTCGCTATGGGGAACGCCTCGTCGTGACTCGTATCTGAAGCATACATTGAAAAAACACCAACTCGTTGGCCGGCGACAGCCATGACGTCACTACCGGTGCGACTACAGTATAAATCGGTGCCGGGAGCTACACATCGTTCTCTTCTTCGTCTTCATTGACTGTTCTGTTTGAAGCGTGCATTTTCAAGGAAAAAGTAAGAGCTATCTATTAATATTATGGCGAGCACTAGTAGAGCATTTAGAAGGTGTGTGCATTAGGCCTATGTGTTATTATGAAATGGTTATCTTAGTTAGGGTTATCACAGTAAAAAAAAAGGGTTTTAGTTACTTGGCATTAACTGAAATAAAACAAAGGAATGAATATAAAATAAAATAATACAAATCAAAAAATGAAATAACATAGGCTGTTATCAAGCTGATGTCAAAAACCTAGTTGCCAAAGCAACATTTCTCAATTTCATTTAACTTTAACTTTAAAATAATTAACTACATTAAATTAACAAACATGACAAAAACGCAAAACAAAACTAGGCTACTTAAATGAAAATTCAAAATATTAATACAACTATAATAATATCTTAATGAACTGTAACAGTAAGCTAAACAAACACTGATAATGTGGAAATGTTGCTATATTTAATTGTAGGTAAAGCTGTGACTTGTAGGCTAGTATGTGAGGGGAATAGGCTACTTGTTTACCTAAACCGCACCCCTTCCCACCAGTTAACGCCTTATCAGAGAGCTGTCTGTTTGTGTACAGTTTACAGAGGCCCCCTGAAGCTGAATTCAGATCAGCACTTAGAGGGGTTTAAAGCTCTCTCTACCGCATGTGCTCAATCCCGCCTCCTGCAAGGCAGCCCGAGGATCGCACATAGTAAAATGGCTGAAAAGCAGAAACACGAAGGCAGGGTAAAGATAGGACACTACATCCTCGGAGACACGCTGGGAGTCGGGACATTTGGAAAAGTGAAGAGTTAAGTCTATTCATTTACTATACGTGTTTGAATGTTGCGTGGAATGGAAGCACGACCGTATGTTTTCGGGGTTGTTAGTGCTGAACTTGCCGGCGGACGTTGTGCGCAATTTACGTAGCATAGATTGCGTAGGAAGCACCTCCGCTGACGTCCTCCAGGCGCACAGAGTACGTATGCTGTTAGTGAATACGACGCAGAGCTGGACATTCTTTCAGCACCACAGTAGACGCTGCCTTTGCAATCTTGTTTGTGTAAATGTTTAGTATAACAACATTTGGGAAACCATCTCGTATTTTGGTCATATTTAGGGCTCACGTACTTACGCCTTCTCAATATTTGGTATTTTACACATGTTAATGCATTGTCATCCTCCCTGAAGTGCGATCAGTCATTGAGCTGCGCTCTTTAACATGTTATTTGCATACATTTCCAGCACCCAAATGGTTTAATCTTTAAAACGTTTGTCTCAAACGTATATTTTTCTTATTAGTGTAAAAGCAGCACCGGGATACATGTTGTAGTTAGTATATTTTACCTGCAGTGCCGCTTTGACCTTGCAGTCATTTTCTATTCTAAGCGCGTGTGGGAATGACCTTTAGCACGGGTGAAACCCGGTGTTTGAGCTTTTCCTGGGCATTATTAAAGTAAAAAATTATTTTATAAAACGTTGTGTGTCGCGTTAAAATACATACTGGCATTAATAATGTATTTTAGTCGATGCACATAAAACTACGGATACATTGTGGGCATAATTTCACCTCAAGAAAAACAAATGCTGTGTTTTCAAACCTACTAAGATTCCTACCTAGACCAGTGTTTCCCAACCACTGTGCCACGGCACACTACATGTTGCCTGGTGGTGTGCCCTGAAAAATTGTCAAAAACGTCCTCTCAATAAGCCTATATTTCGATATTTTAAAGGGGTCACATGATGCGATTTCAAGTTTTCCTTTCTCTTTGGAGTGTTACAAGCTGATTGTGCATAGATAAGATCCCTGAAGTTGCAAAGACTAAAGTCTCAAAACCAAAGAGATATTCTTTATAAAAGTTAAGACTCTGCCACGCCCCCTAAAACGCCTCGTTTTAACACGCCCCCACATATCTACCTCACTATGTGGAAATATTTGCATAATGCACCCAAATGTCTTCACATTACTGTTTTTACTGCATTTTTTAATTAAATAAATGCAGTCTTGGTAAGCATAAAATACTTTTTTTAAAAACATTAAAAAAAATCTTTAAACTGTTAAGTTATATAAAATATATCTACAAATATTTATTAAATATATTAAATGTTATTAAATATATTTAACCAGCAATTATTTTTAACAAATAAATGCAGCTTTGTGAGCATATGAAAAAAAAGTGTAAGGTGTAGGTCAGAGTGTAGTTATTATAATTAAAGAAAAATATCAGTTTATGGGAGGTCTTCACAAATATGTGGACAAGTGTGTGTGTGTGTGTGTGGATCCCCACCTTTGCCAGTTTGTAGAAATATCTTTCTTGTTACAATAATGTGCAGGGCTGAAATTTGGGTATTTGTTTTCATAATGTTCACTGAGTGGTATAATACTATATAAGCAATTGCCTTAAGGCTAGAATACGAAAGTCCAAACTCATAGTAGATCAGGTTTTATTTGTTTGAATGGAGGGCTCAGACCTGAAATGAAAGTCTCCTCTCTTTCTTTGTTTTCTTAGAAGGTATGTGTTGGAGGTCGCTGGCCCACAGCTCTGATGCTTGCTTTCTTTGGAATAAAACTTATCTTTCATCAGCTGTGTTTACAACACCGAACTGCTGGTGATGGTATTTCAGCTGAGTCTTCATTGATGTGTGTATGTTTGGCCAACAGTTGGAGAGCACCAGCTAACAGGACATAAAGTTGCCGTGAAGATCCTCAACAGGCAGAGGATCCGCAGTCTCGATGTCGTGGGGAAAATCAAAAGAGAGATTCAGAACCTTAAGCTCTTCAGACATCCACACATCATCAAGCTGTGAGTCAATCACACATCAAAACACAATCAATAGAAACAAAATCAACTAATGAGTAGGCTTAAAATAAAAAGATTTTAAGAAGCTTTATGTTTTGTAACTGCAATTTCAGGAGACTTTAATACGGTGCACTTACAACTTTAGGAGTATTACAAGGATCATTACACACACTGACATTACTTGATGTGTGTCACTTTAATCTGCTTCAACTTCACTAATGACAAAGATTTTTTTTTTGTGGGCAAATACTTCAAAAGCGATTTGAATGAAGATGTCAGAACAGATTTATTTTCCCTCTGTGGTTAGACATGTGCGAGTAATTGATTTTAATGAGTCCTACTGAAAAGACCAGCTTTGACCTGCTTACATTTCCATGCTGGTCCAGTCTGGTGTGTGCTGGAAGCTGGTATAGCAATTGGTCAGAGTGTAGTTATTATAATTAAAGAAAAATATCAGTTTATGGGAGGTCTTCTTCACAAATATGTGGACAAGTGTGTGTGTGTGTGTGTGTGTGTGTGTGTGGATCCCCACCTTTGCCAGTTTGTAGAAATATCTTTCTTGTTACAATAATGTGCAGGGCTGAAATTTGGGTATTTGTTTTCATAATGTTCACTGAGCAGTATAATACTATATAAGCAATTGCCTTAAGGCTAGAATACGAAAGTCCAAACTCATAGTAGATCAGGTTTTGTTTGTTTGAATGGAGGGCTCAGACCTGAAATGAAAGTCTCCTCTCTTTCTTTGTTTTCTTAGAAGGTATGTGTTGGAGGTCGCTGGCCCACAGCTCTGATGCTTGCTTTCTTTGGAATAAAACTTATCTTTCATCAGCTGTGTTTACAACACCGAACTGCTGGTGATGGTATTTCAGCTGAGTCTTCATTGATGTGTGTATGTTTGGCCAACAGTTGGAGAGCACCAGCTAACAGGACATAAAGTTGCCGTGAAGATCCTCAACAGGCAGAGGATCCGCAGTCTCGATGTCGTGGGGAAAATCAAAAGAGAGATTCAGAACCTTAAGCTCTTCAGACATCCACACATCATCAAGCTGTGAGTCAATCACACATCAAAACACAATCAATAGAAACAAAATCAACTAATGAGTAGGCTTAAAATAAAAAGATTTTAAGAAGCTTTATGTTTTGTAACTGCAATTTCAGGAGACTTTAATACGGTGCACTTACAACTTTAGGAGTATTACAAGGATCATTACACACACTGACATTACTTGATGTGTGTCACTTTAATCTGCTTCAACTTCACTAATGACAAAGATTTTTTTTTTGTGGGCAAATACTTCAAAAGCGATTTGAATGAAGATGTCAGAACAGATTTATTTTCCCTCTGTGGTTAGACATGTGCGAGTAATTGATTTTAATGAGTCCTACTGAAAAGACCAGCTTTGACCTGCTTACATTTCCATGCTGGTCCAGTCTGGTGTGTGCTGGAAGCTGGTATAGCAATTATGTTCTCTAGCAAAGCCTAGCTAGCCCAATTCAAAACAACCATTTATTGAAACTGAGCTGCAAAAATGGCTTGTTCAGAAAGCAGCATTTTAGAATGATTTCCGAAGGATCATAAGACACTGAAGACTGGAGTAATGATGCTGTAAAATTCAGCTTTGCCATCACAGGAATAAATTACTTTTTAAAATATATTCAAATTAGTGCTGTCAAACGATTAATCGCATCCAAAATATTTTTTTTTGTTTAGGCTAATATACGTGTGTGTACTGTGTATATTTATTATGTACACACATGCATGTATATATTTCATATTATATATAAATATAATATATAAACGTAACATTTTTCTTAAATATATACATGCATGTGTGTGTATTTATTAGGGGTGAACGACTTCAGATTTTTTTTTAAAGTCGACTTTTATGTTATGAAAGTCGAGTTGAAGTCGACTAGTCGGTGCAACTCCTAGTATTTACATAATAAATATACACAGTACACACATACTATGTAAAAAAATTTTTTTTTTTAATATTTTGGATGCGATTAATCGTTTGACAGCACTAATTAAAATAGAAAAGTCATTTTAAATTCTAAAATATTACTGTATTTTTATCAAGTAAATGCAGTCTTGGTGGGCATAAGACTTTCATATATATATATATATATATATATATATATTAGGGATGCACCGATATGAAAATTTTGGCCGATACCGATAACCGATTATTCTTTATTTTTGAAAGCCGATAACAGCTGAGTCTTCATTGATGTGTGTATGTTTGGCCAACAGTTGGAGAGCACCAGCTAACAGGACATAAAGTTGCCGTGAAGATCCTCAACAGGCAGAGGATCCGCAGTCTCGATGTCGTGGGGAAAATCAAAAGAGAGATTCAGAACCTTAAGCTCTTCAGACATCCACACATCATCAAGCTGTGAGTCAATCACACATCAAAACACAATCAATAGAAACAAAATCAACTAATGAGTAGGCTTAAAATAAAAAGATTTTAAGAAGCTTTATGTTTTGTAACTGCAATTTCAGGAGACTTTAATACGGTGCACTTACAACTTTAGGAGTATTACAAGGATCATTACACACACTGACATTACTTGATGTGTGTCACTTTAATCTGCTTCAACTTCACTAATGACAAAGATTTTTTTTTTGTGGGCAAATACTTCAAAAGCGATTTGAATGAAGATGTCAGAACAGATTTATTTTCCCTCTGTGGTTAGACATGTGCGAGTAATTGATTTTAATGAGTCCTACTGAAAAGACCAGCTTTGACCTGCTTACATTTCCATGCTGGTCCAGTCTGGTGTGTGCTGGAAGCTGGTATAGCAATTATGTTCTCTAGCAAAGCCTAGCTAGCCCAATTCAAAACAACCATTTATTGAAACTGAGCTGCAAAAATGGCTTGTTCAGAAAGCAGCATTTTAGAATGATTTCCGAAGGATCATAAGACACTGAAGACTGGAGTAATGATGCTGTAAAATTCAGCTTTGCCATCACAGGAATAAATTACTTTTTAAAATATATTCAAATTAGTGCTGTCAAACGATTAATCGCATCCAAAATATTTTTTTTTGTTTAGGCTAATATACGTGTGTGTACTGTGTATATTTATTATGTACACACATGCATGTATATATTTCATATTATATATAAATATAATATATAAACGTAACATTTTTCTTAAATATATACATGCATGTGTGTGTATTTATTAGGGGTGAACGACTTCAGATTTTTTTTTAAAGTCGACTTTTATGTTATGAAAGTCGAGTTGAAGTCGACTAGTCGGTGCAACTCCTAGTATTTACATAATAAATATACACAGTACACACATACTATGTAAAAAAATTTTTTTTTTTAATATTTTGGATGCGATTAATCGTTTGACAGCACTAATTAAAATAGAAAAGTCATTTTAAATTCTAAAATATTACTGTATTTTTATCAAGATTCACAACGTTTTATTATAATAATGTTCTCATTAGAATGTTATATACACGACATTCCCAATCATAGTTATTAATGTTGTGCACTGCTGTTTGAGCTGCGTGTGCTGAGCTAAAGATGATCACCGGTAAACTGAAGCGCTCTTTTAACTTAACCAAACGCATTCTATATGAGATAAATCAGATATACATCAAATAAACACAATATTACAATGTACAATTGCACAAAAGGCTGCAAACGAACAGCGCGCATCTGAAGTGTCTCTGAAGGAAATAATGCATTATTTATCGGCTTTAAGATATCGGCCAAATTTTCTTATCAGGCCGATACCGATAACAGAAAAAATTAGCCGATATGGGCCGATACCGATATGGTGGCCGATATATCGTGCATCCCTAATATATATTATGAATTCCAAACTGGCGGAGTGTATATGTATGTATATGCAAATCACACTGGACATCAAACTATGGGTTGTGAAAATGTCACTCAGAGAGAGTGTGGAAAATGGCTATATAAAAAATAAAATATATGTTCTACATCCAGTAGTGTTACTAATATTAGTGCATCTCTGCACAAAATCAAGTAAAAATGAATAACCTCTTTAAAGTAGTGATGGGCGTATTTTAAAAGAAATTATATTAGAAACAGTTGTTTTAAATTGTAGCATTTTTGTCCACAATATTGCTGTTTTTACTTTATTTTTGATCAAATAAATGCAGTCTTGGGGAGCATAAAATACTTATTTTAAAACATTAATACATCTTACAATTCTCAAACATTTAATAGTTATATAAAATATCTTTACATATATTTATTAAATATTAAATATATTATTAAATGTTATTAAATATGCATTTAACTAGCAGTTATTTTTAACAAATAAATGCAGCTTTGTGAGCATAGTAAAAAAAAAAAAAAACTAAGTACAAAAACGAAGCATAAGTTAAAAAAAAAAAAAATATATATATATATATATATATATATAAAGAAAATACCCACTGTAAGGAGCATCTGTAATTGGTTTGTAAAAGGTGTGTTTTATGCATGTTTGAGCAGTTAATCATTTTGCAAAGCAGTTGGTTCAGTTGACTCAGAATCTAAAAAAACTCTGTTTCTCCCATCACTACTCTAAAGTCTGTTTTTGTGAATAAATCAAGAAACCAAGAGCAGAAGCACAAGGAATAAAACTCACCAACAAAAGTCCAACAAGATACTGACAATGAGCTAGACAAACACAAGAGCTAATTGGATAATAAGGCACAGGTGAACGCAGAGGAAACAGGAACAAGACAGAACTACAAACTAAAAGTCACAACAAAAGTGTAAAGACAATCAAATGCATTTAAATTGTACATTTGGAGGAAATGTGAAGAATGACTCATAGAGTATTATAGAGTACACATAGAGTATTAAGCACATTGGCACATTTCAGGATTGTTCTGATCAGGAGATAGTGACAGAATAACCCTTTTATCTACTCATGTCTCAATCTCTCACTCTACTTCTTCTCCACTCTCACTTATTCCCCCTGTTTCTAATCATAATGCAATCAGTGTGCTATTGTATTCTGGACACATTCCATGTTGAGCCCCTGCTGTGCTTCTGTGCTGTGTGTCTCTGTGTATTTGCTCTGTTTTATTGCAACGTGTTCTGTTCTCTCCTTTTATCATTCTAATTCGGTGATTGGATTCTGTAAAATTGCATTATGTTTATTTAAAATCACATCAGGTATCCCAGACTCTTTGAGTATTCTCCATATTAAACCCCTCTGAGGAATACAGGCCTTGTCCTTCTCTACTGCTGTTTGAAAGTCTCCCATTATAAGGGCTCTTCTGTTGAATATAAACAGGAACAATAACAAAGCAGACTGCCAGTATGTGTCCCTGCAGAAATTATGATCAACATTTCTGACCTTTATCAACATTTCTGTTTCTAAGAAGAACTGCAGTGCAATACTCCTGCTGATGGTCATGCTTATTGTCTTGTATTGTTATCCAATATATTTGAGTTATAAAGAGATGTTTTCATAGAGTAAGCTTGGCCTTATTATTATTATTAGGATATTATTATTACAAACACTGTGAAATATATACATGTAATTTTACAGATTTTCAAAAATTATAATTTTTATTATAAGCAACATATTGCAACTTGTTTGTTATGGGTCAGCATTCAATTAAATGAATTATTAGTTATTGAAATAATTGCAACTTAAAATTTAATATAGTAACATGCTTATGTACTACTAGTGAAGAATTTAAATTCAATTCAACTCAATTAAATTAACAAATAATGAATTATATATATATATATACACACACACACACACACACACACACACACACAGGTGTATGTATATTATATATATATATATATATATATATATATATATATACACATTTGATAGGGACAAAGTGCAAATTTTACATTTGGTTATATATACAGTATATATATATAGTGCTGTCAAACGATTAATTGTGATTAATCACATCTATTTACATAAGATATGTATGTGTACTGTGTATATTTATTATATATACATGCATGTGTGTGTATTTATGTATATATAATAAATATACACAGTACACATACATGATCATGGAGCTCAACTAGAATGACCATCAGCTTCTTGTTCACCACTCTAAACAAAGCCCTTCTCCATCAGTTGCTCAGTTTGGCCAGGAGGCCAGCTCTAGGAAGAGTCCTGGTTGTTTCAAACTTCTTCCATTAAGGGTAACAGAGACTACATGCTTCTGTGAACCTTCAATGACGCAGAATTGTTTTCTGAACTCTTCCCCAGATGTGTGGCTTGACACAAACCTGTTTCTGAGCTCTACAGGCAGTTGTTTTGACCTCAGGGCTTGGTTTTTGCTCTGATATGCATTATCAGCTGTTAGACCTTTAATTAAGACGTGTGCCTTACCAAATCATAACCATTCAATTGAATTTGCCACAGGTTAACTTCACTTGAAGTGTAGTGACATCTACAAGCAATTTGAATGCTCCTGAGCTAAATTTCAACTGTCCCAGATAAGGGTATGAGTACTTATGCAATGGAATCATTTAAGTTTTTTATTTTTAATAAATTTACAAAGATGTTAAAAAACAGTTTTTTGCTTTACCATTATGGAGTATGGAGTGTAGATTGATAAGAAAAAAAAATAATTTAAAGCAGTTTAACATAAGGCAGCAACATAAAAAAATGTGAAACAAATTAAGGGGTATGAATACTTTTGCAAGGCACTGTATATATATATATATATATATATATATATATATATAGTTGCATATCACAGGAATCTTCTCAGTTTTGCAAGGTATAAAAACACATGTATATGATCAAGACAGTGTCCTTCAACCCATTGGCCATCCTTATTGTTGAGCTCTGTATTGCTGTATGTTAAAAGCATCAACATTAAAGCCTCCTGTTGAGTTTCTGTGGTTCTTTTCTCTGGTGTGTTTCAGGTATCAGGTGATCAGCACTCCCACAGACTTCTTCATGGTGATGGAATATGTGTCTGGAGGGGAACTCTTTGACTATATTTGTAAGCATGGAAGGGTAAGAATCATTTGTCAAGCTTTTACAAATAAAGTCAGCTGCAGGCTAAAAGGCTCTTAGATTCATGGGAAAGGCCCGTGACTTTCTCACATTGTGTACAAAGCTGCATGCCATACTTGCTTTAGAAAATGACTGAACATCACAATTAATTCTCAATCTAGCATTCTAACATCATACTCAATTATGGAAACATGACTTTCCCATTACTAAATATGGCTTATTATTTTTGTGTTGGTCACCTAATAGCCCAAAGCTGCTTTATGAGACTCGGGAATTTTTACTCTGGCTCTGGTCTGGATTTGAGCATGGATTAACCTTTGAGTCTTCCAAACCTGTTGGGGTTATGGGGATCCAGCTTATCCAAACAGCAGCTGATCCAGTGAAGTGTTCGTGGGAAGGGTCAGGGAGTTCATCCATAGGGCTCAGTCTTTGTGTTATCTGGGTTGCCTACAATCATATTGCAGGACTTGTTTAGTTTGCACGCACAAACACTCAGCTGACTATGGTGAAATTTGATCGGAGGCTTTTTATTTTTAGAGTATTAATTCATCAACACTTAACCAACTTTTTGAATTATGTTTTGATGACATGATGTTCTTGGTTATAGGAATAATTCAGGTAAATTGGGTCAGTTTTTTACTGCCATATAAAAAGCGATCCAATTGACGTGAATGTGACCTAAGAATATGAGTTATCCATATTTTAGCATTATCACGTGAAAATTAATTATTAATAGTGGTTAGTAGTATTTTAACCATTTAAGGTATTTATAACGAGTTATAAGCCGGACATATGAAATAATAGAATATTTTGTTAAGATCAAAATGTCTACCTGTATTGATATTTCGTTAAGATCAAACAAAGATATATATTTATATATATGCCTGTATTTTGTATTTGTATTTATGAAAATATGTGACATTTAAAAAATGATGCAGGCTGTTATAACAAATGTAACTAATGTGTATATAAATATCCCACTCTAAGTACATCAAGAATGTAATTTTTACTTGCATTATTTTACAAATTAATTTAATTTAATTTGATTTAATTGCTGCTGTATCACATTTGACAGATTTTCAACATAATTTTCCTAGACATAATATATGAACTATTAAGTAAGAACAAGTTCCTTAAATTCAGTAAATTGTCATTTTGAAATATTATTAACAATATAAAAGTTATTCTTGCTATTACTTTAGGAAAGTACTGCTCTAGAGACTTGCCATGTATCAAATACAATACATACAGCTTAAACCCACAGAGAACAAAACAGTTGTTTTTAGGATAATGTTTTATATAGTAATCTATCTGTTGTGTCTCTCATGTTTAGGTGGAGGACACAGAGGCGAGACGTCTTTTCCAGCAGATCATCTCAGCGGTAGATTACTGCCACAGACACATGGTGGTGCACAGAGACCTCAAGCCTGAAAATGTACTGCTGGATGGCAACATGAATGCCAAGATCGCTGACTTTGGTACACACACACACACACACACACGGAAAGCTAATGTTGTGCAGACTGTGAGGAATAGTTGCCAAGCAACCGGCTGCAGTTTTGCTGCACGTCCACTCGTGTGGTTTGTATGAGGCATGGTGTTTGATTATCCACAGAAGAGCACAGACAGAAAAGAGGCAAAGAGAAAAATACATTAATCTGCCCTGCAGCTAGATGTGTTGAGCTATATACAGTGGGGTCCAAATGTTTGAGACCACTAGTAAAAATGCTTCAATTTAAAGGGGTGATATGATGCTGCTAAAAAGAACATTATTTTTTGTATTTGGTGTAATGAAATGTGTTTATGAGCAACATGAATGCCAAGATCGCTGACTTTGGTACACACACACACACACACACACACACACACACGGAAAGCTAATGTTGTGCAGACTGTGAGGAATAGTTGCCAAGCAACCGGCTGCAGTTTTGCTGCACGTCCACTCATGTGGTTTGTATGAGGCATGGTGTTTGATTATCCACAGAAGAGCACAGACAGAAAAGAGGCAAAGAGAAAAATACATTAATCTGCCCTGCAGCTAGATGTGTTGAGCTATATACAGTGGGGTCCAAATGTTTGAGACCACTAGTAAAAATGCTTCAATTTAAAGGGGTGATATGATGCTGCTAAAAAGAACATTATTTTTTGTATTTGGTGTAATGAAATGTGTTTATGCGGTTTAAGGTTAAAAAAACACATTATTTTCCACATACTGTACATTATTGTTTCTCCTCTATGCCCCGCCTTTCTGAAACGCGTTGATTTTTACAAAGCTCATCGGTCTGAAAAGCGAGGTGTGCTCTGATTGGCCAGCTATCCAGAGCGTTGTGATTGGCCGAATACCTCAAGCGTGTGACGGAAATGTTACGCCCCTTACCATATTGTGATGCCCTGTCCGGTCGGAGTGATGAGACATATAAATTCAAACCCATTATAAACGAGGCATTTGTTGCATCCAGTGGGGACATAATTACAGATTATAATGACTTATACTGTCTTTTTAGGTGTTGCGTTGCATCGCGCCACGTAAACATAAAACCATGTCTGCATTTATGATCGGAGAAATGACAAACAACAAACGCTACTCTACACTGCTCAAAACTCACGTTTGAATCATCAGTGGCAAAT